ATGTGAGCTCAACTGCATTCCTCTTAGGCCACTCTATGAATGTAGGGCCTTTGGGTTTGAGCGGTGATGGACTGAGATTATCTCACATCGGATAGTCTTTAAGTGTGTGTGTGTGAGTTATATGACGACTATGACATTTTTATTTTTAAGTAGAAATGTTGTAATTTGTCTGTGATAAAAAAAAAAATTAAATATAAGATATTTTCAGNCAAAAAAACATGTACTTGACAAGACCCCATATTAAAAAATCTGAAAAGATCCACCGATTCAGCAAATACCCATGTGGCCATGGACTGTGACGAAACTGACATTTCAGATTTGCACTGGAGATCAATGATAAACTTAAAAAAACAATAGCTAGCGATTATCATTTTTCATGACCACCCACATTCACAAAAAAACGTAAAGACAGAGATCACAAAAGTGGTCGGACTTGGTTTCTGCATTCTATACTATGGTGACATCTTCGAGTTTTGAAAACGCAGAGCTGCAATTCAACTCTCACTAACAAGGGCCAACAATGCATTTTATAAACTATTTCTCAGATGTACAATCTTTATTCGCTGATGTCTCTCCCTCTTTCTAAGTGAATGGAGATGTCCTTTAGTGTCATCTTCTTTATTAATTCATTGTTCGGTTAATGATGCAACTCATTTTATTTTGGTACAAAATTATAAGGAGGTTATGTGCGTAATTTAAAGGCCATGCAGACAAGTATTTTTGGCCAAAACCATGGGGTGGTGGTAAAAGTTATTCTCCCCTCAAAAAAATAAAAATCTGCATGTTAAAAGNCAAGTATTTTTGGCCAAAACCATGGGGTGGTGGTAAAAGTTATTCTCCCCTCAAAAAAATAAAAATCTGCATGTTAAAAGTATTTCTAGAATGAGTTATAGGTCCATTTCTAGAATGATTATATATTACCATTTTAGTAAATAATATTGAATATAGGGGTTATTCTACATCGGATAGTTTTAGGGTGTGTGTGTGAATTATATGACAACTATGACATTTTTATTTTTATGTAAAAATATTGTAATTTGTCCCTAATCGAAAAAAACATATGTGTGCTCAGGATGGGTCGCATGTGAGCTCAACTGCATTCCTCTTAGACCACTCTATGAATGTAGAGGCCTTTGGATTTGAGTGGTGATGGACTGGGATTATCTCACATCGGATAGCCTTTGAATGTGTGTGTGTGTGAGTTATATGACAACTATGATATTTTTATTTTTAAGTAAAAATGTTGTAATTTGTCTGTGATAAAAAAAAAAATTAAATATAAGATATTTTCAGACTCTCTACTTGGTGCACATGAGACTCACCTATATATCATAGTGTCTAGAAGATACAATTGCTAAACAACCTCACCCGCACTTTAGAGAAGTTAATTGTATTTTGCAAACTTCATCAACAAAAAGTAAAAAAAAAAAAAAAAGGAATGTGAATTCATATTTGACAATTTTCTCAATCAATCATTACCACTTATGTGTCAATTCCACTACCACAAACTTTTCTTTCTTTTTTTTTTTTTGGAGCAGCACTACCCACAAACTAGAAAATGAACCAACCGATAAAACAACAAAAAAAAAAAAAAAA